CGGAAGGGTGGTGGGGGAAGGTTGGTCATTGGGAGGTATTCAACCAAAGACCTTGTATGCAGATATGCATAACCCATGGACACAGACAACAGGGTGTGGGCAGTGGGCTGGTGGGGGTCTATGGGAATAAAAAAGTGGGCATATGTAATACTCGCAACAATGAAGATTTAAAAATGAAGGAAGTATAAGAATATCTCATTAAATAAAAGATATCAGTAGAAATTATAAAAAAAACAACCAAATAGAAATCTGAGTTGAAAAGTATAATAACTGAAATAACAACTTCATCAGTAGAGCCCAGTAACAGATTTGAACTGACAAAAGAGAGGATCTGTGAAAATGAAGATTGGTAAATAGAGAGAATATCTAGTCTATGGTACAGAAAGGGACAAAAAATGAAAAACAAAACAAAAACAGAGCCTCAGAGACCTGAGGAATATCCCAAGTGTTGAAATATATGCACAAAGAGAGTACGTGAATGAGAACAAGAAAGGCGTAAAAATACATTTGAAGAAATAATTTCCAACGATTTCCCAAATTTTTTTTTAATATATTTTATTGATTTTTTACAGAGAGGAAGGGAGAGGGATCGAGAGTTAGAAACATCGATGAGAGAGGAACATCAATCAGCTTCCTCCTGCACACTCCCCACTGGGGATGTGCCCGCAACCAAGGTACATGCCCTTGACCGGAATCGAACCCGGGACCCTTGAGTCCGCAGGCCGACGCTCTATCCGCTGAGCAAAACCGGTCAGGGCGATTTCCCAAATTTGATTAAAAAGATTAATATACACATCTAAGAGGTTCAACAAACTCCAAGTTGAAAAACTTGCTGTAAAGTTGGAATAAGCCTGATCAAAACCTAGACACATCAGAGTCAATTGATGAAAAACCTCAAGAGAGAAGTAACTAATCCCACATATTTTTCATCAGAAACCATGAGAACAGAAAACAATTGACATATTTGATTTGGTGTTAGAACAAAGGGTTGTCAGTCAAGACTGTTCTATCCAGCAAAACCATTCTTTATAAATAAAAGGGAAATTAAGATATTCTCAGAATATTTTTAAAACAAAATATTTTATCACTAGCAGATTTGCCCTATAAGAAATACTAAAGGGGGTTGTTTAGACTGAAATAAAAGGACAAAAGATAACATGAATCTGCAAAAAAATAAAAAGCACCAGTAAAGGTAACTATGTAGGTAAATATAAGACTATATAAAAGTATTTTTGTTTGTAACTCTTTGCTTCTTCTATTTGATTTAAAAGATAACTACCTAAAACAATAATTATAAAAACATGTTGATGGTATATTATTTTTCTATTTCTGATATAACATGTTAACATAAGCATAGTGCCTTACTAGTAAAACAAACCAATTTATTATCTTACAGTTCTAAAGGTCAGAAGTCAGAAAGAGGTTTTAATAGGTCAAAATAAATGTGTATACACCAGGACTGTGTTCCTTTCTGGAGGCTCTAAGGAAGAATCTATTTTCTTATCTTTTCTAACTCCTAAAGACTGCTCATTCCTTAGAGTAGCATGGCCCCCTTCCTCTCTGTACATTTCTTTTTTTTTTTTTAATATATATTTTATTGATTTATTACAGAGAGGAAGGGAGAGAGATAGAGAGTTAGAAACATCGATGAGCGAGAAACATCGATCAGCTGCCTCCTGCACATCTCCTACTGGGGATGTGCCCGTAACCCAGGTACATGCCCTTGACCAGAATCGAACCTGGGACCCTTCAGTCCGCAGGCCGACGCTCTATCCACTGAGCCAAACTGGTTTCAGCCTCTCTGTACATTTCTTATGCTGTCACATCTCTGATTCTTTCAGACTCTTGTGATTGCATTGAGCCCATGTGAATAACCTAGGATAATCTCCCTAATTTAAGGCCAGCTGACTCACAACCTTAATTCCTTATTCATAGGTTCCAGGGATTAGGATGTGGACATCTTTGGGAGAGTCATTATTCTGCTTACCAATATCTACTTATAATGTATTAAGATATAATTTGTATGATGATAATAGTACAAAGAAGAAAATGAGGGACCAGGCTATATTAGGGCATAGTGAGATTAAACTTTAATGAGATTAAAGTTAAATTAGTGTTAATCCAAACTAAATTATTTTAAGCTAAACTATAACAAATTCTCAGAGCAACCACTGGAAAAAGAACTAAAAACTGTAGTAAAGAAACAATCATAAAACTAAATGGGACTCTAGAATATGGCTATTTAACATAAATTATAGTAATATAAGAATGAAGTATAAAACAAAAAAACAAATGTAGAAAACAAATACCATAATGTCAGACATAAATCCTACTTTATTGATAATTACATTAAGTATAAACATATTAAATAGTCAAACAAATAGCAAATACAGACAGGATGTATTAGAAAACATGATTTGAATATATGCTGTCTACAATAGACACACTAAATTCAAGAACACAAAAAGATTAAAAGAATGGAAAAAGATTAAGCAAAAGTGAGTTTCAATAGTTATACTTTTATCAGACAAAATAAACTAAGACAAAATTGTAATAGAGACAAAGAAGGACCTCCTATCCTATCCTATATAATAGAGGTAACATGCAAACTGACCTCACAAGATGGCTGCCTGTGACCAGGCTGGCAGAGGGGTTACTGAGGGATGACCAAATGATTGAACAAGCAGGCTGCATGGGGCAACTAGGCCGGCGGAGGGTGGGGGGCAGTTAGAGGTGACCAGGCTGGTGGGGGCGGAGTGCAGTTGGGGGCAACCAGGCTGGCAGGGGGGGCAGTTGGGGGCGATTAGTCTGGCAAGAGGTGCAGTTAGGGGCAACCAGGCTGGCGGGGGGGGGGGCAGTTGGGGGTAATTAGGCTGGCAAGGGGGGGCAGTGAGGAGCGACTAGGCCGGTGGGGGGGAGGGCAGTTGGGGGTGACCAGACTGGCAGAGGGGGCAGTAAGAGGTGATCAGGCTGGCGGGGGGCTGGGGGGGGGGTCACTTAGGATCGACCAGGCCAGCAGGGAGGGGGCAGTTGGGGGTGACCTGGCCAGCAGTGGGGGGCTGTTAGGGGCAACCAGGCCAGCAGGGGGGACAGTTAGGGACAATCAGGCTGGCACACAGAGGAAGTAAGGGGCGATCAGGTCAGTAGGGAGGAGGGGGCAGTTAGGGGCGACCAGGCAGGCAGGCAGGCAGATGAGTAATTAGGAGCCAGTGGTCCAGGATTGTAAGAGGGATGTCTGGCTGCCGGTTTAGGCCCAATCCCCGGGATCAGGCCTAAACCGGCAGTCAGACATCCCCCGAGGGGTCCCAGATTGGAGAGGGTAAAGGCTGGGCTGAGGGGAACCACCACCCACCCCCCCCCCCCCCGCATGAATTTTGTGCACCGGGCCTCTAGTTTTTAATAAGGAGGGTCAATTTCAGGAAACTATAAGTCCTAAGTATATAAGAACCTAATTCCAGAGCCCCAAAATAGATGAAGCAAACACTAACAGAAATGAAGAGAAAAACAGACAATTCAACAATTCAATGATCTACTTTCAATAATGTATAGATCAACTAGTCAGAAGATCAACAAAGAGATGGAAAAGAAATAACTAATGGGTCTAAGAAGAAATTGCAAGAGAATTTGGAAAATACTTTTGAGTTGGATGAAAGGAAAACTGAACATACCAAAACATATGGAATACAATTAAAACAGATCTTAAAGGGAAATTAACAGCTTAAAATTTCTATATTAAAACACACACACACACACACAAGATCTCAAATCAATAAACTAATTATACACCTTAAGGAACTAGATAAATGAGAGCAAACTAAATCCAGATACTAGAAGAAAGGAAATAATAAAGATTAGAGGGAAGATGAACAAAATAAAGAAAAATAGAGAAAAATCAATGTATTTGTAAGTTGATTCTTTGAATAGATCATCAAAACTGACAAACCTTTAGCTAGCTTGACCAAGAAAAAAAGAGAGAAGACTCATATTAATATCAGGAATAGAAGAGGAGATATCACTACCAACCTTACAGAAATAAAAAGGATTATAAGTTGATTAGTGGTTGCATAGGTCTGTGTGTGGACAGTGACTACTAACAGGTATAGGGTTTAATTTGGGGTGATGAAAATGTTCTACAGTTAGCTTGTTGTGCCAATTGCAAAACTCTGTGAATATACTGAAAATCGATGAATGTACTTTAAACAAGTGAATTTTACAGTATCCCAATAGCATTATATCCCAATAGAGCTATTTTAAAAAGCCAGGATGGCCCACCTGCTGTGGCTCAGTGGTTGAACATGAACCCATGAACCAGGAGGTCACAGTTCAATTCCCAGTCAGGGCACATGACTGGCTTGCAGGCTCAATCCCCAGTGGAGGGTGAGCAGGAGGCAGCTGATTAATGATTCTCTCTATCTCCCCTCTCCCCTTCTCTGTCTAATATCAATAAAAACATAAATAAAATTTTAAAAAGTAAGGCTAGTCCTGGCTGATGTGGCTCAGTTGGTTCGAGTATCATCCCGGACACGGAAAGGTTGCAGGTTCAATTCCTGGTCAGGGCCATTACCCAGGTTGCAGGTTCGATTTCTGGTCTGGGTGTGTAGGGGAGGCAAAGTTTCTCTCTCACATTGATGTTTCTGTCTCTCTCCCTCTCCCTTCCTCTCTCTCTAAAATTAATTTTTAAAAAAATCCTCAGGTGATGATTAAAAAACATGATAAAATAAAATAAGTCAGGATAAAACTGGACCCAAAGTATAGGGAAAATGATTGTCTCCTGGGAAGGAGGAAGGCACTTCCTTCATGAAATCAGAGGGAAATATAAGAAAGGATAGCAAGGGAGTATTAAGTGAAGTAAAAATTAGAGGCCTGATCTTGATACATCCTTACTTTGTGTTCCAGATCTCAAGCCTTTTCAGGGAGCTTTCCTCCCAACATCACAGAAGTGCTGCCTTCTCACAGTCCCACCTGCCATGGCCTTCTCCATACGAGTCACCATCACTCACCTGGGCACCATTCTTTTGCATCCTTCCTTTTAACAATCCAGGGCTCTTTCCCCTGTTCCAATGAGGAGATCACATCTGGCTTAGAATCACAAAGTCCTGCTCAAGTTAAACAAAAAAGGTTGTTGTGAGTGTTCCAGAATTAAAATCAATCCATGATTATCAAGAAAGAAGAGTAAGTAGTTTAAGGGTGAAGGTCAGAGAAATTAAAAAGATAAAGTTGTAAAATGGAGCAGCCAAGTTTTAACTTCACAAGAAACAACTATTCTTCGGTAAGCAAGAATCATTAATTCAGCCAGGCACTTGAAAAAGTACTCACAAGAAATTGATAACGAAGAACATAAAAATTCCAGAAGGCCAATTCTGAATTTTGAGAGGCAGATAAACTTACCCAGTGAGATCAGGTTGTTATAATTTTCCAACATTATATCTCGGTACAAATCCTTTTGGGTAGAGTGCAAGCATTCCCACTCCTTTTGAGAGAAGAAAATGGCCACATCTTCGAACTTCAAGCCCTGAAACCAGAGATAAATATACTATTTGGGAAATTAATGGTCAAAATATTTATAATAGAATAAAAGAAAATGGAGAAAGCAATTCAGTAAGGAAATTGCTTGGGAAAATACGCTATGCTTGACCCTTCAGTATGGATGGGTCAGTGTGGGAACAAGAGTGATCAGAGCACACATTATTCTTGGTGCATATATCATTATTAAACATGCCTGCAACTATAAATGTTACCTCTTGGCATTACCTCTTCCATTAGCCACTCAGGTCTGGGAATAAACAAAGGCCAGATAATTGGTGTTTCCCAACTAAGTAAAACCGTACACTGAAGTACACAGCACAATCTATCTTCAGCACATAAGACTTGTGATCATATCCTTCCCATTCTCCCAATAAATTTTTTAAAAGTTGGAATCATTAAAAAATGTCTTATAAAACTTCTATTTCTGAAATTGAATTTAAATATAACTTAGTGACTTAATCATATCTTCAAAACTCAAGCTCATTAATATGCCAGAAAATTAAATCCTAATCACTTTTCCAAAGGCTGCTGTCCTGCATCCCTCCGTTCTCCAACAAATGCTTAGGTACTCATTTTGCAGGGTCTGGCTTATATAAGGCTGGATTCTTCATGCAGGTGCAGTTTGTGGAGCCATATTCTTCATTAGTGTGCTTCCTCTTGATGCATCAAGCATCCTCCCTGGCTCTTTTCCCTCCATCTTGTTTTCAGTAAACCACTTCTTCTGAACCTGTTTCGCCTCCTCTCTTGACTTCTATTGAATAGAGGCAAGAACCCCTTCAATCGTGACAAAAGCATGAAACAGGGCTCAACCTCATTTAGTACCAAAAATATGCAAATTTAAAATCAGAATAATATATCAATTCATACCCACCAACTAGCTGAAAATGTAAAAGTCTGACAATACTAAGTGTTAATAAGGATATGAAGTAACAGGATTTGTAAATGGGTATAAACATTGGAAAGCAACTGGGCAGTGTCAGGAAGGTTGAAAATGCATATACCCTATGACCCAATAACTCTATTTCTAGTAATATACCTAGAGAAAATCCTTACATATGATACCAAGAAACAAGTCCAAGAATGTCCACATGAATATAAAAGAAAAAAAGTATATTTATACAATAAATGGCTATATAGTAGAATAAATTCACAATGTGAATGCATTTCCTCAATGTATACTGAGAGACAAGTAATAAAGTTGCAGAAGATTTCAAACAGTATGATTTTATTTACATCAAATTTTAAATGAAATAAACACATATAGTTAAGACTATAAACAAAATCAAGGGAATGAAAAAATGAAACTCAGAAGTTACCTCTGAGGGGTGGAGAAAGGCACTGGATTTTGTTTTATTTTTGTTTTGAACAATAATTAACATTCTACTTCTTAAAATGGGTGCTCAGTCATTCATCATACCTTATACATTTTCTACCATTCAATCTATACTAATAAAAGGGTAACATACTAATTAGAACAGATATCTTCCAGACGTCCTTCCAACCAGCCACAGTGGCAGGGACCAAGGCAGAGGCAGTTAGTGGCGATCAGGCCGGCAGGGGAGGGCAGTTAGGGGGCAATTAGGCTGGAAGGGGAGAGCAGTTAGGGGGCAATCAGGCCGGCAGGGGAGCAGTTCAGAGGCAATAAGGCCAGCAGGGGAACAGTTTGGGGGCAATCAGGTTGGCAGGGGAGCAGTTAGGGGCATCTGGCCAGCAGGCAGAAGCGGTTAGGGGTGATCAGCAGGCAGGTGAGCAGTTAGGAGCCAGCAGTCCTGGATTGCGAGAGGGATGTCCCGGATTGGAGAGGGTGTAGGCTAGGCTGAGGGACAGCACCCCCCGCCCCATGCGTGAATTTTGTGCACCAGATCTCTAGTCCTATATAATAAAAACCCAATATGCTAAGTGTCCAGTCCAGTCAGCTGTTCAACCAATCAAAGCATAATATGCTAATGATATGCTAAGGCCTCTCAACTGCTTGCTATGGTGTGCACTGACCACCAGGGAGCAGACAGTTGATTGGCTGACCAGTCGCTATGACGTGCACTGACCACCACGGGGCAGACATTCCGACCAGTAGGTTAGCTTGCTGCTGGGGTCCAGCCGATCAGGACTCAGAGATATGGGCCAGACACACACTGGAGCCCTCCTGTGGTCCCTCCCCAGCTGGCCAACCTCCTGTGTCCCTCCTCGGCCTGGATCGTGCACCGGTGGGGTCCCTCGGCCTGGCCTGTGCCCTCTCACAATCCCAGACCCCTCAGGGGATGTCAAAGAGATGGTTTTGGCCAGATGATGGAACAACCAATTGCTATGATGCGCACTGACCACCAGGGGGCAGATGCTCGATGCAGGAGCTGCCCACTGGTGGTCAGTGCGCTCCCACAGGGGGAGCACCGTTCAGCCAGAAGCCAGACTGATGGCTGGCGAGCCTCTCCCACCTCCACGGAAACTGCTATCAGTTAGACATCTCCCGAGGGCTCCTGGACTGCGAGAGGGCACAGGCTGGGCTGAGGGACCCCCCAAGTGCATGAATTTTGTGCACTGGGACTCTAGTATTAAATAAAAGCAGTTTTAAAAAACAGTTACAATACAGTGTGATAAGAACTACGACAGATGCAGAATAAGGGAATGTGATCAGAGTCACTGAGGATAATTAGGAAACTCAAGCAGGTTTCATAGAACCCAGAGATAATGGTGGTATGGTATAAGCACCTCTCTTGTATTTCTTGTGCAACAAAGACAAGAGATAGCACTGTGTATTCTGGAAACTACTAGAGGCAAGTGAGAGAGGGAGCAGAGAGAGATGAGGCTGAAAAGAAGGATCACAGCCTTAGATGGTTAGATTTACTTTCACAGGTGAAGGGTTTTTAAGCAGGTTAAATTAGCTCCTATTACAAAGAGAAGAATCTTGCTATGGGAAATGAGTGACTTAATTAGGTTAAGGGTATGTAAAAGTTTCATGTAGCATGCAGATGATTAATTGGGGTCCAGAAAAGGAATAGGATCCCAATAAACAAAAACACTTTCAACAGCATTCCAAAGTACAGTAAACAGAGTAAGCTGAAGGTAGAGAGGCAGACTAATTGCATCCTGTGTGTCTGAGAAGCAGGAAATTAACTGGGGTAACTGGTGAGAGATTCTGGGAAAGGAATCTGTCTAGAAGTGATGCTGGAGAAATCTAAAGGGGCCAGGATAGATAGGTCTTAGATGACAGGTCATCCCTGGCAGGAATAAAAATACTCTCATTCACCACTTTATTCCAATACTAGGATTGGTGCTCTAGTAAACATTGACTGTGCTTTTTAGTGTACATCTATATATATAAAAGCCTAAGCAACCATTACAATCAAATGAACAGAACAACCAGTCAACCAGTCACTATGATGCGCACTGACAACCAGGGGGCAGACGCTTAATGCAGGAGCTGCCCCCTGGTAGTTAGTGCACTTCCACAGCCAACCTCCCGTGGCCAGCCGGTAGGGTTGGCGTCCAGCGTCCATTCCTTCTGCGCCTGGCCCAGTGACTGTAGCCTCCTCTCCCAACCCCGCTGGGGCCTTTGGCCCTGGGCTGGGATGGGGAGCCAGGGGTGCGTGGCAGTGGACGTGGCCTCTTTCCCGGGGGGGGGGGGGCAAGGGCTAGCTCCCTCCTCAGGGCCAACAGCCAACCTCCTGTGCCCCATCCCTCACCCCAGCCGGCCGCCTGCTGCAGTGGCGGTGCTGCGGCAAGGGAAGGAGAGGGGGGCTAGGTGGGGAACTGCGCAGTGGTGGGGTGCTGGTGTCAGCTTCGGTTTCCAGCGTCTGTTCCTTCTGTGCCTGGTGACCGTCATTTCCTCTTCTGCCCCGGGCCTCTTCTGCCTTCAGGGCCCGGGCTGGGACAGGTAACCGGGAATGGGTGATGGCAGACGCAGCCCCTTTCCCAGGGGGGCCAAGGGCCGGCTCCCTCTTTAGAGCTGGCGGCCAACCTCCTGCTCCCTGTCCTTCCCCACTGGCCAGCAGGCCCCAATCGGCCTGGCCCTGATCAGCCCTAATCACCGGTCAGGCCTATGGACCCCACCTATGCACGAATTCGTGCACCGGGCCTCTAGTCTATACATATAAGAACCTAAGCAACTGAATGACTGGTCGCTGACAGGCACTGACCACAAGGGGGAAGGCACTCAACAAGGAGCTGCCCCCTGGTGGTCAGTGCAATACCAAAGCCAATCTCCCGTGGTCCCTTCCCCAGTTGCCAGACCCAATCACCAGCCAGGCTGAGGGTCTCCACCTGTGCACAAATTCATGCACTGGGCCTCTAATATATAATAAATACAAATAAATATGCAAAGCAATCCTGTATAATAAAAACATAGGTGGCATCACGCCCTTGTGTGACATCCTTGCGTGATGCTCTTGCACGATGTTGTCACAAGTTGGCTGCCACAAGATGGCTGCATGCACAGCAGAGGTGGGACCTGGTGATCAGTCCACACAGTGAGGCCTGGGGGTCCCTTGGATCTGTGTGGCCTGGAGGAGGCTGGGTCCTGGTGGAGGAGGTGGGTTGCGGCAGGGGAGGGCAGTTGTGGGCAATCAGGCTGGCAGGGAAGGGCAGCTGTGGGTGATGTAGCCAGCAGGGAAGGGCAGTTGGGGGCCATCAAGCTCTGGCAGGGGAGGGCAGTTAGGGACCATCAGGCTCTAGCAGGGGAGGGAAGTTGGGGGCAACCAGGCCCTGGCAAGGGAGGGCAGTTGTGGGTGATCAGGCCAGCAGGGGAGGGCAGTTGGGGGCAAACCGGCCAACAGGGAGAGCAGTTGGGGGCGATCAGGCCAGCAGGGGAGTAGTTAGGCATCAATTGGGCATGGGAGCGCTTAGGGAGTGATCAGGCTGGCAGGCAGAAGTGGTTAGGGGCCATCAGGCAGGCAAGCGGTTAGGAGCCAGCAGTTCCGGATTGTGAGAGGGATGTCCGACTGCTGATTTAGGCTCAATCCCACAGGGATCGGGCCTAAACCAGCAGTCGGA